GGGCCCAAATTGTTGCTTTATGAGAAGAGGACGCATCTCTGTATTTTAGCATAGATTACAACTTTCAAGCGATTTTGGGGTGCCCCAAATCCCGTTTCCATAAATTCTATGCTTGTTTCAGCGTTCATCTATGCTTGCCTCCCCTCCCCCTCCGCTCCCTTCCCCTCCTCTTCCCTCAGCTCCCTCACTGGGCTCCAAATTTCGGTTTTTTATATCTTCTTAGGCATAAAATAAAATTGATTGCTATTACCAAAAAAGACGAAGGTGCCTGAAAATATTCCTCCATTCTCCCGCCCGTCCAAAAAATATTTCCACACTCGGGTGCTGTAGCCTATGCTCGAGATCCAATGCAATAACCGTAATCACAAAGAAGTATTCGGCGGCAGGCATAATGTTTTGCGCACTAAATTGTCGGCGATCAATTCGAACTGAGCACGGTCTTCACGCCACATTTTCGCTGCGTTCACGTTTGCTGCACTCTCATCATTTGGCTCTTTAAAACACACAGTTATTTACAAATGCATGTGATATTTCTCTTGGACTCTTCGGGACTTTTCCAAGTTATTGCGTTTTTTTTTCCATTTATTTTTCCTCCTGTTATTTCAGTTGTGAAAATATTTCATTCTATTTCACATAATCATATTACGCGCAGCCGTACTTTGTATAATTATATCTCTTCTCTAAACTAGAAGCCTCTCAGTAAACATTGTTCATTTTCCTCTTTTGCTTCCCACTTCATCTACATTCACTTCTAAACAACACCCGAAAGAGAAGGCCATCAAGAGGCTACCTGAAGCACATTGGGAAATGCTTCGTCCCGACCATTCTGGAGTGCTTTTGCCTCTTTTGAAGAGTAAAAATTTTGAAAAAGGTTTTGTCTTAACAGTCGACCGACTAGCAGTCTGGATGATTTATTTGGGAGTTGAATTTTGTTTTTTTTTCTGTTGGCGACAAATATTTGCGCCGATATCAAATTCCCCCCTCCCCCCCCCCTCCCCAGTAAATCGGGTACTTTTTTGGGCTGTCCGACAAAAAGATGGAATATTTTTCCATCAAATTATGAACTTGATATCGACACAAATATCTGTCGTCAATAGAAAAAAAAAAAAACAAAATTCAGCTCCAAAATATTGGGTAACTTGTCTGGGGTACGAAGTACACACAGAATTACCGAAAGAAACACTCACCAGCAAGCATGGACACAACCGATAGCAGAATTTTTTCAATGGACTGCACTGGCGACCACCGTTCGGCACTCGTTTCGTAACCAGTCGGATCATCACCGGGTGCGTGCAGTATGCTGATGCAGACGCGTCCGTCTGGATAGATGTTCGGATGAAAGATGTCACAGGTGAACTGCATTTTCGGCGGCGACAAGGGGTAATCCTAAAACGAAAAACTAGTCAACTTATCGGCTCAGTTAATGAAATTTTGATAAAGTCGCACAATTCATATTGTTGCTAGCTACAAGTATTACTAAATGCCTTCGGTTCGTGAGGCTGAGTAAAGGATGGGAAAAACAACGAGAGGAAACTGCGAGGGGAATTTTGTGCTGAGAGAACTGAGATTTTGAGTTGCCAGACTGATGGAGCCTGGTTACAAAAATACTGAAACACGATGCTCACTCTATGCTCATAATCTTCTCATAGAAGTTTTAACAAAGTGATAGTGCGTGCTGCAGAACGGCACCGCGGAATTTTACGCGGAACGGCTGTCATTTTGTCTGAGAGATTCACTTATAAATCTAAAATGAGTGAAATGGATGCGCCAGGCTTGCGACTGAGGAATAAGGAAACACTGTTCGTAACATTACCGGGGAGGAGCAAAACGATAGAACAGAAGCCACTTAGAGCAAATAACAATCATGTTCATGAAATTATCAGTTTCAGGCTTACTGAAAAAAACACCGTAGGACTTTCGGAACGAACGATGATGGATCACCTGGGGAAAGATGATTTTCGCTGGGAAGACGCCGTTCTCGAAGCACGTTTCATCGGGCCCCGTTATGAGGCATTCCCATTCAAAAAAATTGTCTTCACTGATCGGTCCCGCAATTATTCCTTCAGGCGGATTCAACGTCAACTCTGTAACAACTCTACGGCAGTGAATTTTCATTACTTCAGAAGTTTGAAGGAAAAGATCAAAAAAGCAGCCGAATTAAAAAAAAAAAAAAAATTACGGAATCGGACATTAACATCTGTAAAATGCCCAGGAAATGAGAGCTGGTCCAACTAATGCTAATCGTCTGCAATTCTCAACAGACTGATTTCTATCAGCTGTTGTCCCATACGATGACGAGTTGAAATCTGAGCTACGTAGATGAGGATAAAGTAACCTGGGAACTCAGTAGTTTTTATGCGTTTTGTACCATGTAACAGAAGTGCAAAACGCATACTGTCACGGGATTGTCTCTGTGTGTATTTGTGTGAATGTATGTGTTTGTGTGTGTCCGCAGCGACTTGCCAGCAACTTTCAACTCGGGAACCACAAAAGTTAGGAAGCTGAAAAATTAGGGGAACGTTCCCCTCCCAAGTGTGACGCCGAAAATTTAAACTCAGCCTCCCCGTACCCGCGAGTAACACGTACGGCCTGTGGAAGATTATCATCACGTGAGCCACGGACGTAAAATTATTATCACGTGAGCCACGGACGCTAGAAGGCTGAAATCTTGTGGACATTTCCCCTGCCCACATGCGATCCAGAAAATTTAAATTCAGCCTTCTCCTGCTCGCAGGTAACACGAATGGCCCTGTGAAAATTTTGACGGGTAAATCATTATCTCAGAAACCACGGAATCTATGAAGTTGAAATTTTACGGTAATAACCCCCGCTTACACATGACTTTGCAAATCCAAATTCAGCGTTCCTGCGCTCTCGGGATTATCTACGGGCCAGTGAAATTTTTCATATCTATTTTTCCTGTTTGGCCTTACAACACTGTCCCTGCTGTAGACCTCAGGCAAAGATAGATGCACGAAAACAGTACAAAATCCGCAGCACATGACCAAGCCTGCAGTTTCCAGGATTTTCAGCATTTTTACTTTCGTAGTTCTGCAATTAACCGGCTAGGAACGTAAATACACACGTATGAATATGACTTCACTGAAATGGGTCCTCGATTTTCAAGAAGAGCATGAAAATGACCCGGGAAATCGAGTGGTTTTGTAACTGGCAATTCTGGGTACGAATTTGGTATTTCTATTGCTTAATCGCTCTCTACTTATTGTCCTTGCTTGGAAGGGAAAAAGAGGAATCTGGGCTATAAAAAATAGCAACTGACGCTTATACTCGGCCATCAATCGCTTTAGCGCATAACCAGCCATAACTCTCTCTATTCCTGAAAAATGAACAATTGCTGGATATAGCAAAACGGAGTACCATGCTCAAATGCACTGAGACACAGTCTACTTCGCAAACTACCGTACGAAATACTCGCTGTGAACAGAGCACATTCATATTAAAAATTCTTTAAGGTAAAAATTCTTTAAGACCCGCATACGTATGGCTGCAACAAAAGGGCTAATAAGGGAAGGCCTTACCTCACTCCTCCTCTGCTCCCCCCGCTCCCTCCTCTCCTTATTACTGTTTGTTTCCAGTCAAAACTGGTACAGTTTCAATTAACCCAAATCCGCAGACTACCCTGAAACAGCGGTAATTCCTAAAAAAAACCTCCTACAATAGCACCAATCCACCACCTCCCACACACACTCCGGCACCCCATAAATCATATCAAACGTATCAACAATTTACGAATCAACTGCATGCACCTACAATCCACAAACCAACCGTCAAAAGTAGAACCTAGGAACCACCCGATGCTCAAACTCAGGAACCGCGGTCTCGAACATGAAGTCATCCCAATTTTTCTTCCCGGTTAAGATCCCTCCTGCGATGTGTATTAGGAAATATCAAGGCTGCTCGGGCTATCAGTGTGGGTATACTTCACTCAGAAAACAGTTGATGTAATTCGTGTAAAAACAACTTTGACGACTGTCAATACACAGGATGACTTTGATAACAAAATTTATTGTTATCATAAAATTATCATTAAAACGAGTAAATTATTATCACACTACTAGAAGCATTATCAAAAACTAACACAGAAAAAAAAACATCACCGCCACTGGCACAAAGTACATGCACGCACAATATTCGACATCAAAATCCTATCATCCAATGAGCACTGTTAAAGAGAACGAGCAATGACAAACACACAGGTATCATCTACAAATGCAAAATATGAAAATGCTACAACTGCTACACAAATGCTCGGAATCACAAGAAGCTTAGGAGAAAGAAGACCTATCAGGGCACATGAAGAATGAAATGCTGGCGCGCCTCGCTGCGCAGCGCTAACATTTCAGAACACCGGTACTGAAAAATCGAATGTACTGCAAATGATCTACGACAATGACACATCGACGGAGTGCGCGAATTTCGGGTAGACTGAATTAGCTCTTTTTCTGTTGCTTGATGAAATTCATGATGCCGTTCGTGCTCGAATCATGCGAACTGCACGGGCTATCGCTTTCCAGCTCCTTCTGGATAACTTTCGCCAGCTGCTTACCCAATTCCACACTGAAACAAGCAGACCTGTATTAGTTAAATTTGAATGAAACTCGAAAAATTTGCAGAGTGAGCTGAAGATATAGGTAAATCCAGGATAGACTCCCGGGGGAGGGGGAGACGGAGGGTACGAAAGACAGTTTTCTTTAGTTTTAGCTTTAGACCTGGCCCGTGTCGTCGGGGGGAGCGGGGTGAGGTAAAGACCCGTCGCCCCTTCTCCTCCCTCCCCTTTCTCTGCATCCGCTTACGGTTGAAAGCAGTTGTCTGGAGCTCCGACAACGCTTAGTAAAGACTCTCTTTGTCGCTGAACTTGAAAAAACCGATCAATAAAATTTTGTAAAAGGATTACTTCTTTCCGTGACGGGGGTGCAGTCTGGTTCTGAAGAATCCCATCGATACGTGATAGTAGAGAGAGGAATATTCCACTAAGGCAGTGCCATTTAAAGTGGTTGCAATCCAAAATGAAACACACAGGCAGGCAAAGAGTATATGCACTGATTTGATTGATAATCAGTTTTGTTTCGAGTGTATGTATTCTGATTTATGCACTGCATTAGTGAGCTGTTCTTTCATTACGTTTCAGCTACCCCCGTTCATCGACGGACACTGCTTTTGCACCGATTAACAAGTTATTTTACAGTGAATTTCGGCACCGATTAAATACCAGAGGCACCTGTGTTTCATTTCTTGGCTCAAGCACAGCGTACAGTAGAAATGAGAATCATCAGTACAGCCTCCAAGACGCCATGTTTCTGATGAACAAGTATCCAATCGTTCGACAAAGGCAAAAATAATAAAAAAGGAAGAAAACACGAAGAGGGAGAGGAGAGTTTACTCTTAAAAGGAACAGAATGCGAAATAAGATATTTACGCCCTGCGATTCAGTGTGGACAGTTAGTCGCATAGTGAGTTAGTAAAGACTTTAACTGATGTGATTTCATGTTAAGCAATTTTAAGTTGCAACTTGATCGTTGAATGAACACATATTAGTAAATAGAAGTGAATACTAACCCCCACTGGTCGTAGCTGTTAATGTTCCAGATAACGCCTTGCACGAAAATTTTGTGCTCATACAGGGCAATCAGTGCACCAAGTGTGAACGGCGTCACTTTCGGTAAGATTATCGAATTCGTTGGTCGATTGCCTTCAAAGACCTGCAAAAAGAGCTTTTATGCCACAAAAAGCAAACAGATGATAAAGAAAACCATTTTTGCCTTAACAAATTATCCAAAACTTTAAGCAGCTTCATTTTTACCAAATCCATTGCACACACAAAAAAGTTACTAACGACTTAGCAAGTCGTAGAGCGATGGGTGCTAGGTGACAACAAACTGAAGCACATTTCCAGTGAAGTAAAGCGATACTCGTTCAGTAAGAGCGATGTAAAC